ATCACTAACAAATTTGATCATTTTATAGGATAAACAACACATTAGCATTAGACTTTTTTAACAATTGTCTAATTTTTAAGCAATTTATAATAGTAGATTGTTAAATGAATTCCTATTTTTTTTTATAATAATACTATCAAATATCAATATAGAATTTTATAAAAATCATAAAAAAGAAGAAAAAAAATATGTGTGTTGACTATTTAAAAATAAATTAAAAATAGTTCAAAATCTGTAATCATAAAAACTGATTAAATAAGAGAAATGATATTTTAAACATTACTTATAAAGCATTGCAAAATTATGAGAGCAACATAGATTATTAAGTCAAAGACCATGATGAACGTAAACTTATAAAGCAGTTTTTAAAACTTGATATAAAAAGTTTTTTAAACATACAGCATACTTCAATCAATTTCATTCATTCATCTATCTAAATTCTTTAGATAAAACATTTCAAAAACTCTTTATAAAATGTACTCTACAACTGGACTTCATTTCAGACTTTATTTACAATGCAAACCTTCAACTTCAACAGGTTTTGTATACTATGAGAACTGTTTTTTCTTTGTCAAACAAATTATACTCAGTTTATGTTATTATTGACAAAAACTAAAATGCATTAAGATTTTAAAAAAATAATAATGAAATTTATTTATCTGTTTAAACAATGAAAATATTTTTTTTATAATTCCAGCTAAAAAAAAATTTATAGCAGCATTTTTTAAGAAGCTTAAAAGCATAAAGTATTGAATTATTTACAAATAATTGCTGTAACCAATAAATAACCACAAGAAAATATGAAATCGGTAAACAATATTACTTAAAATTATTCCTAAAAGTTTTATGAAAACAGTTTAATTTATATGTAACAAATTATGTTAGAGAAAAAAATATACATATGAACATTTGCAGTTATAACAATTTTATATAACACAACAACACAATGAGGATACTACAGTGACAGACAATCTTCATTGAATTTTTTGATAATTATACTATTCCTTATCAATCAAAATTTTCATTTATGAAACTATCAGTGAGATACAGATGTAGGTTTTAAAAAAATACAAATCTTCATGAAATAATAACTGCAATCAAATAAATAACCATAAGAAAATATTGAAATTAATAAACGAAGTTATTCAGAATTATACTTTTTTTTCCATTTTTGATTAATTTAATGCAAAGAATGCATTGTAAAAATAAAAATTGTTATATAACGTATTAGCATAATAATGATACATATGTCCAGTCAGAGCTTTTTTCTTAAATAAGTAAGACATTTTTAATTCATCAATAGGACACTTATGACACTATAGATTTACTTGCAAACTGAAAAGTAGATACAAATTTCATTTGAAAAATAAATCCATTTATTAATAAAGCATTTAACTTATCCACAAATGAAGCTAAATGCTCAAACAAATAAACATTTATAATGAAATTAACTTTTTTATTTTTTTAATTAGACAACTTAACTGATTAAACTCAGAACTTCCTCAAGATCATTTTTGAAATGATCAAAATAAGAGCTACAAAAGTTTTCGTTTTTTTTTAATATTTGAACTAACTACTATAACTTATTATTGAAACCTTTCCAAATCAAAGATAAATAATAGAATGAAATAAAAACACAAAAAAATTATATATTTTAACAAGACAACATAATTCATGAAATATTGGATCAATTTTAATGTTTTGAACATAAAAACTAATTTAGGTTTTAGATTACTAATGATTCTTTACTATTAAGAGTTAAGATTGAGTACATAAAAGAACCAGAAAAATCAATTCCTTTTAAAAAAAATTATAAACTTTAGAACTTTTGAGCATATTTATGTAACATTAATTTAAAAAAAACTGAATAAAATATTCAAAAATTATAAGATGGCATTCCAATTAAAAGCACCAATAAATGAGCAAATGTGTCAGAAATAGTTTAAAAAATAGCAAATAGTATGTGATTATCAAAGTAGCTGCCTTGAAACATACAGCCCAATTTTCAAATTACACAGCTCAATTCCTTTGTAAAGATTATCAATGACATCAATATTTTTTTTTAAATCTGAAAGGTTTCTATACACCAGGGGGTGGTTTTAAAAGAAGAATTTATACTGATTTTGAAAATCGGGCTGGCAGAATTGTTATAGTTTTAGCACCATTTAGATCAAGAATATAAGTCATAATATTTTTATTGTCACTTAACAGATTCAATACAGAACAAATCGGAAAAGAAAAACAAAATTATACTTATTGTTAAAAAAGTTAAACAAATAAATACAGAATTAAATGTTATTAAAATACAGTCAAATTTCTATAATTCAAATCTCCAAAACTCAATTTTCTAACAATTTGGGCCGATTTTGGAAATTCCAGCAGAAGACTTCATTATTGAATCTTTTTTAATATAACTCAAAGTTCTCCACGATGATTAAAAAATACGAAAATAAAAAAATTTAATACCAGTGAAGTATAAACAAAATTGAACATTCTTTAGAGAAACAAATCTTTGATTTCTCTTAAGTTAGCAAGCATTTTCTTCAAAATAAAAAAAACATAAACAAAAATAATTCCTTTAAAAGAGTCAAGTTAAACAAAAAGTTACAATAAAAAAATTATGTTAGTAGAAATGAATACAAAAGACATGCTTTTAATACCTATTTTACCCCTTATACCTAATTTTTTTAATATTACAAAATATTTTAAAATGACATTTTTCTTAGTGCAAATGTCGACTGTAAATTGCTTTTAAAATTTTTTAGCTTTCTCCAGTAAAAAAATAAATAATTAATTTTCTGAAAGATAAATTTTCCGTTTTATTTTTTTAAAAAAACTTTTAATACTGCTATGAGTTACAGAAGCTTCACAGGACATGAAAATTATAATTATGCAGTTTAAAAGTAGGAGCTAATTTTCACAGTAGGTAATGAAAAATACTAAATGATTGTTTTGCATACATTTTTATACAAATGAATATTAAGAATAATTTATTGATATTACGATTTTGTATTGAGGTTTAGATTTGTTAAAATGTACAATCCATAAAAAAGCTTTAATTACAAATGAGAAAATGGGTTAGAAAGGCCAAGAGGGGATACACATTTAAAATATTTTTACAATACTGTAATACATACCATATTTATTTTTTCAAAATTATTTAAGAATGAATGTCAATGGTTGCAAAGTTTAAACTATGATTCTTTCATAAGCTATGGAAATTTATCAATCATTAATTAAATTTCATAAATTGAATGGAATTGAATTACTGAAATTTAATTCACAATTGATAAATTTCAATTTGCTTCATCAAGAAAAAAGTATAGATGCAATCACTAGAGAAAAGTATAACTTGGCAATCTAGATATCTGAAGCACAATGACTGAAAAAACAGGGAAGATACATTGAAGTAAATTTTTAGCTAAACATTAGAAGAAAGAAACAGGCTATTTAAAATCTTCACTGATGTAATCTATGAGAAATGTTATGCCTTAATATTTAAAAAAAATATTACAACAGGGGTAATAAAATGGAAAACAGATATGATATGATATGAAGAACTAAAGCTGTCATATACAGAAGTTTTTTTTTTTTTAATTAAAAAGAAACAGATATAAAATTTTAAATTGCAATCTGCATAAATTGTCAAAAAATTTCTAGAGTATTAAAAAATGGAAAGATATGCTTAAAAATAAAAAGATTACATGAAAAGAATAATACAGTACAGAACCCATTATCCGGAAATCAGAAAACCGGAAAACCAAAAAACCGGAACGAAATTCGATAAATTTTCCCGCCATTTTTCTAAAAAAAGGTTTTTTTCCTCATAAGAGTTTAGGATTTTTCTTTCTTTTTTTAAAGATGTTTACCTCACCATCATTTTGGAAATAATCATTAGTGTATTACTTCATCGTTTTTTCTTCTTTTTAAGATTATTTCCCAATATATATATATTTTTTATTTGGGTTTAACAATAAAAAAAACAGCTTTTGTAGTGATTCAGAAAACCGGAAAAATCAGTTATCCGGAATAGCGATAGTCCCGATCGCTCCGGATAATCGGTTCCCTACTGTATTTATATTTTGAGTTTAGTTGTTTTTAATAAAATAATGAAATAAACTAAAAACAGAAAAAAAAATCTAATTAATATCAGAATCAAATTATTCAATGAGTAGTTTAATACATTTTATAAAAAGTAAAGAATATTTTATATTTAAATTAGCTCAAGCTTGACTTGGCGAATTTATAAATAATTAGGTATGTACAAAGATATAGACTAAATATTTAAGACAAACTGTAACTTAAAAATACAAACACATATTAGAAACAAAACTACTGTACATTTTACAATACAATTATTCACATAATGCAAAAACAGAAATAATTTAAAAACAAAGTAAAAAAAATACATATTTATATTAGTTAATATTTATATAAAAATTACAAATGGTGAAAATAAAATTTTTATGTTTTTAAAAAACACTGAAAATAAAACACAATGATTTAGATTACATTTGGAAAAAAAAGGAGATGACAAGTTACAAAACAAGAAAAAAAATTCAACAAAACATTTAGATAGCTTAAGCATTGATTTACAAATAGAAAGCAATGAAAAATAAAAGTTTAATTAAAACAATATCAATTTTCTAAATTAATACTTTGAGACTTTTACTGCATTGGCACATGACTTCATTTGTTCACTTTCTTCTGTACATCATTTAATGAACTTATTAGTAAATACTTAGAACATGTTTTTTTTCTTCAAACATATAATAATATTTAAAAACAAACATTCAGAATGAATATTTAAATAATATTCATGAAATGAAAGCAAAGTTGATTTTTGTGCTAATGATAAGACAACTAATAGTTATACAATTATCATTGTTTAACAACAAAACAAACACTTAACAATCGTAGAATGGAATGTGAATTGGGATTCAAACAAATTTTTACATTCTAATTACTAACTATGGGTTATTTTAAAATATCTAACAATATAGATGGAAACAAATTAACAATTTTTATTTTATATAACAGACATGAAGCAAAGGTATTAATTAACAATGGTGATTAGTCACTAAAGTCACTAGTATCTCTGTCGCTCTCATCATCGGAGGATGGCTGAGGAGCCCCTGGAGGTGCTTCTGCATCTGGGTTACTAAAAAATGAATGCTAAAATGAGTAAGCTGTAGATCTAACTTATAAAAAAAATTAAATTTAGGAATGAAAATTGCAGGAAAAATTTACAAAGATAAAAGAAAATCCAAATCAAAACACTTTTCCCGTACTCACATTTAGTATTTTACTAAGGTAAAGCATGATGGAAATTAATCATACTTCCAATTTATAAAATAAATCCAAAGTGAGTCAGATTTACAAATTACAAGAGAGGAAGAAAAAATAGTTGTTTGAAAATTGACTCATCTGTAGTTTCCCAAAATTTTGTTAATGATTCTGTTGTAATATAACTATATATCTAGAGATGCAAACTAGTGTAGATAACTATGTTTTTTTTCTTTTTTCGTTGAGATAGTTTATAGTTTTCCTTAGTAACAAAGATAATTTTTAAGTATTTCCCATAATTAAATAAAAACAAAAACGCTAAATGTATCATTTTGTCTTTTTTCCACCAGTTGCATTTTTTCAACCAATAAAACAAAAAGATTAAACAAATTTAATTTTATCGAGATTAAACACCTGTTAGATTAACCGCATCAAAATATGGGGTTGTAAACAAACTTGAAAAAAAAATGAAAGACTTAAATATGGGAATGAATTTTATAATTCTGTTCTAAACAAATTGCCCAGTGATGCTAGCATGTCTCTTCAACCCAAATATCTTGTGGATTGTTTTAGAAATACATTTTATTTTGGTGAGCCACATTGAATTCATTAGCATACACATTAAAACAAACATGTGATGAAAATATAACAGAAAGCAACACGAATGCTTGTTTTTGATTTTAGAAAAAAGCTAATTCATATACAAACCATTTAACACTTCCAAAAATAATTGCAATTGTAAAGTTCTTCTTGACAAATATTTAAAAGCCCTGATATCAGGATTGGTTAGTTTCTGACAATTCAGGGTTTTAGCCACTTTAAGCCATGATTCTATTCATGTCATAAACCCCTTAATGACAATTGTCAAAACCCCAAAATATTAGAGTAGAAAATAATTATGAGCTATAATAAATGGAAAGTAATTATAAAAAAAGTACTTTAATTACAAGTAATTAATTTATTATGTCTTCTAATCATTTTGGCATTAAAAACATTTCTTGTTTTAACAATTACTGTCAAATATCCAAAATTTTGGTGTAGAAAACCATAAATCTATTATAAATATTAAATAATTATAAAATGGCCTCCTTGCCTTGCATGATTAAATTAAAACAATGAAAGCGCTAAATATAAATATGTTTTTTCATTATGAATTGCTCAAATTTCTATGAACAGTTTTTACATATTTCTTTAAAATAAGTAAAAACTCATATTCAGGAATGCCTTTTTTTTGTTTTTTTAATTTTACATATTGCAACTACCATAAGTTTGATTATTAAAAAATGATAATCATTTTAATAAACAATGACTTCAACATAATAATTCACAAAATGATTTCATTTCAAAGAACTAAATTTAAATTATAATGATATTAAATTATTTATTAAAAAAAAGGAAAGAATGTTATACTTGCTATCATGAGAGTGAAACTTATTAACTTTTTTTATTTTTGTAAAATTTGAAAATATTATTAAAATTTAATAAATTTTACTTTTGCAACTTTCAGTTTTTTAGAAATCACACTCTAATTGTATTTAAAACTAAGCATCACTGTTCTTACCCAGTTTAAACTTTGAAAAGTTATTTTAAAATACATTTTATGAAAATAAAGTGTGGTAAAAAAGAAGAAAAGAATCTTAAGTTTACTTTAGAATTTCTGGATCTACTCCTTCAGCGGTCATTTTGAGTTGAACAGCCCCAGGTTGAACACCCTGGAAATTACATAAATAGAATGATAATAACACCACATAAAAATTACATAATTATAATTTCAAAACATTATAAATTGTGCAGCCTGTTGTAAGGATAAAATACAGCATTTTGACAATGAATAAAGTTTTTCTACCAAATTTAAAAAATTTTCTGAGAAACTGTTGTCATCATTCATAATCTTCCATCTGAAAGAGAATTCAGATTTTTATGTACATTTTAAGTACCACTTAGAATATCTGATGTACGTCTAGAATGTAAGATCTTTGACGAAATTGCAAACTGAAAAAATTAACACTTATTCTGCAGTGCACGTTTGTAAAGTAATTCATTCATGCTGTTGTTACTGTCTTAATTTCAGCACTAGGAATTCAAAATAGTTTTTTTTTAAAAATATAACGAATCAGAGATTTAAGAAAACTGTACGAACTTTCTGAATCGAGAAACAATTTTAAAACAATAGTTTCTGTGGAACTTAAATTTACTTGTTTCACAAGTTGTTTTTACTTGTCTATAAGCTTAAGTGATTTTCACACTTTTCTATAATTTCATAGGTTTTAATGTATTGCTTACAAATACATAAATAGGTATAGAGCCATCATAAGTCCATACATACTCTTAAACATATGTTCTGCAGGCTGTTAGTGGCCAGCTAATCATATTTCATTATTATGCTAAATTTTTACTTTTATTAATTTGAAACAATAGTTAGATAAAAGTTGAAAAGGGTTGTTAAATAACAATTGTTTCAGATGATAACTAGTTGAGCGAAATTCAAGGAAAATGCTTATAAACAAGATAGATGAATTAAAAAAGAGAATGTTTAGTGTTTCATTAAGATTTAAATGATGAAACACTAAACAGACTAATTCCTCAAAAAATACAAAATTAAAAAAAGAAGAAACACATCTGACAAAGCAGTCTTTAGGAAAGATATGAAAGCAGGTACTAAAAACATTTCATGTACTACTAATGATGCTTTTGTTAACAAAAAAAATTACATCCACTGTTTTTCAGAGGATTGATTTTCGTATTGTAATGGGAAATGATTGGTAAACGTGATAGTAAAAAGCTTGTTAAAACCCAGAGCAAGGTGAAGTATTCGAGCTTTACAGTTGTGGATAGATTAAGACAAAATTATATTACCAAGCTTATCATCTTGAAATATTTGGCAAAACGTGGGTCTTGGGAAATTTTCATTTTAGGCTTTTCTTCTGGTTTATTACTGGTATCAGGAGCTGGTGGAGATGTATTTGAAGGCTTTACATCATTACCGGCGGCTGTAGTAGCTTTTTCAGGAGCAGGAGCACTAACTGGACCTTTTTCTGCATTTTCAGTTGATTCAGCAGCAACATCATCTAAGCCAGGAATTGAAGCCAACTAAGGGATTAAACAAATTTATAAGACATTAATATTTAAAAAATACTTAAAAGTTTATCATACAGATATTTCTAGCCAAACAAATTTAACCAGATTAGTGATTCTAATCAATCCATCAATTTGCTTCCTTACTGCAGCTTCTATTTACAATCACAACCCAGAAAAACATGAGCTGGAGAAAGCACTTGTTTGATGAAAAGAGCCCTTCTGGTCATATATAAATATAAAGTTTTTCTATCTTCCATAATACTTCACGCTTTTGGATTATAGCTATTAAATTTTTAATTTCATACAGCTTACACATTTAACATTTCATAATTAATATTACAACAAAGTTAGAAAATAGTGTACTCCTATAAGTGTTGATACTCTGATGTGGAAGTAGTGTTAAGCATTGTTATAGGCAGTTGACATGTCCTACAGGCTGGGCCGGATTTAAGCTTGGCGGGGCCCTAAGCTACTGAAAATGATGGGGCCCTTTTAAGTTCAATTCTATTTCTATAAACCTAAAGTAAACTGTCGTATTTTTTTGTTGCTGAATTATATTATTAAAAATTTGATAATATTGCTTGATTGTTAAATATATTGGTTGTGATGGGACTATAATGTAGAGCCTTTCTATTATTGCACATATTTTTTGAACGAGGAAAAAAACAGAAACTCATTTTAAGAACATCATAAGCACATTTTAAGCACCGAGTAAAGATTTGGCATGTTAGAAGAACCATTATATGTTTAACAGAGTTTTTTTTTCTTGAAATAATTATCGTCTGGCTT